TGTTTTTGTTGTATCTCTATCTTATGTTTGTCTTCTCATTTTTATCTCTATCTTATGTTTATCTTTATCGTATATTTTTATCTTTCTTATATCATTTGTTATTAGTACAACAGGTGAGAAAAAAATTGAAAAGGGGGAAAAGAAAATGCTCCAAAGATGGACACGGAAGTCCCTGAACATACATGAAATGTTCATGAGATGGGGATAAAACATATTTGAGGTGTAACATATCCTTGATAGACACCAGCCAAATGGAGAGGAAGAACTTATGTGTATTATGTTAACTTGATTCCTTTTTATTATTGCTAACAAATTCAGACAAGACTAGCAACACTGTGAGCTTATCAGACCATGAAATGTAGATCAAGATAGATGTTATACTTCAAACTAAATACACAAGATCACAAAAGACCAAAAGTCAAACTCAGAGCACCCTAAAAATTGCAGACCAGATTACATAAACCCAAAGATACATATCACATCTTATAAGTTCATATTACATCACAAAATATTCAAGCTAATAGAACAATAAGGCTAACCAATATTCATTCACACCCTTCCAAATAAACATATATTAAACACCCATATAATAATGACCAAAATGGGCGTTTAAGAAATGTTTACACAAACTAGTAACACACACCATACAAGTGTCAAGCACCTGGAGCAAAAACATGATGCTATAACAACGATAGCATGAGTGTTTATGACTTCCAAAACGTAATGCTACACGACATATAGCATAAGTGTTTATCACTTGCAAAAATAGAACGCCATTCACATAACATAGGATGCAACTTTAGCCTATCAGTTTCACAAAAAAACTCATCCACTTCCATGAAATCACTTCTTCTTTGTCACAACCCATCAACTTCTATTCTTTTTTGGAAAGCTTGGTATTTTTTTCAGTTTCTTTCCTTGCCCTCCCCCTTGAATCCCATCACCACCATCTGTTGGTTGCCCTCCTCCTTGAATCCCATCACCACCATCTGTTGATTGCCCTCCCCCTTGAATCCCATCACCACCATCTGTGGCTTGCCCTCCTCCTTGAAGCGTAAATGTTGCCATAGAGGTACTTTGATGAGAGTTGAGAAGGTCCTAAGATATTAAAAATTACTATTAGGTAAATTAAAAGTAGTTAATGTAATACAACTTGAACAGTCAAAAATTTGGTACACTTACCATTTCTTCCAAGACTGTAGTAGATACTTGGGTAGTAGTGACATTAGTAAATTCAGCTTCCACATTCACTTCAGTAGCTTGTAAAATCAAATTAGTATTCACATTACAAACTAGTAATTTTTTTTTAAATACTAACAATTGCCTACACATCTACCTGGGATGCTTTCTGTTCGCATGTAGATTTATTGTGCCCAGCAATGCCACACACACTGCATTTTTTACTTGGCCAGACTTTCCCAGCTTATGTTTCACTCTTCCTTGTTCAATCTCAGTTTTAGAAACTATTCTCCTCTTTTTTGGCTTGTCGGGTTGTGCTTTATACTTGGAAGGAATAGGTGGTGGTAATCCTGATTTGTGCCATTACTCCGAAGAATTAATGGGCATAATGGCGGGTTCATAGGCCCTAAGATAGGACTCCACTGTGTAGCACTTGTGCACAAACTTCTCAACATCTTCTCCACTCTTCCAAATGCAACAAATAGCATGCCCACATGGAAGCCCAATGAGGTCCCATCTCCTACATGAGCAAGTATGTGCTAACAAATCCACCTTGAACTGCCTACAATAGCAGTCTTCTACTTCATATATACCATATGTAGCTTTGTAGGCAATACATTCATTTGCTCTATCTTCTGCTTCTTCAACAATTTTGAGTATCTTGGGCAAATTTTTAGTGGACTATCTCTCATTTTATCTTTGTTTTGTTGCATCCTCACCATCAAGTAAATCTTAAGCATTTCACACATTGTTATAATGCTCTTGTCCTAAAATTTAGTATGGAGCTGTTCCAGGACTCACATAAATTATTCAACAGCATATCACATTTTGTAAATGTGTTAAAAAGACCCTACAATAGTGGCTTGGGTCTCAGGCACCTAACCATTCAGCATCACCATTGCTAACCTTCTTCAACTCTTCCATGTGTTTCTCAAAACCGGCCTTTATTGTTGCTTTGCATAGAGCCCATAACCGTTCTTTCAGTTCTTTCCCACCAAACCCATCCTTGACAGAGTTGGAGTGCATATGTCTAACACAAAATCTGTGCTCAACCCCAGGCACACCTCCTCAACTGCAGGTAGTAACCCTTTTTGCTTGTCTGAAATGATGGTCCAATACATGGGATTAGAAGAAATATCCAAGTCCTCATCAAGTATACCCAACTATCCTTCAGCTCCCCTTCCACAACTGCAAAGGCAATAAGATAAATTGAGTTGTTAGGATCAACTCCTATGGCAGAAAGTAGTTGTCCCCCTTTATGACAACCCTTTAGGTGACAACCATCTAACCCCATTAGAGGTCTACAGCCAGTCAAGAACTCTTGTTTGCAAGCTCCATAGGCAATGTACAATCTCAAAAACCTGGACCTCCCATTCACAGTAAAGTCTTCATCAAGCTTCATTTTGACTATTGTTCCTGGATCGCTCCTCCTCAACTCCTCACAGTAGTCCCAAAGCAAATCAAATTGCTTAGAATCACCACCTTCCGATTTCTTCATTGTCTCTTAGCCCTGTAAGATTTATGTTTATTGAGCTTACATTTGTACTTCTTCTGAACATGTTGCTGAAACTCCTTTCTACCTCAGTTGTTGTTGATTTTGAACTTATCTTCATAAACTGTTGCAAGGAACCCAGAAGTGATGACCTTATTGTCATGTTGGTCTCCACATGTATGATCGAGATAGTAAGTTTGAACTGTGAAAAGACAATTTGGGTTACTTTTAGACCTAAATATGGTCCACTTACAGTGTTCATGCCTGTAGACTGCTCTAATCCTTCTACTTTGGTTTTTGGGGAATCAGATATCCTTCATGTTCTTTGCTTCTTGGTAGGTCACAACTCATTTGAAATCAGTACTACTCCGAAACTTCATACCAAGTGAAAATTTAAATCCATCCTTCTTGAAGTCTCTTTCTTCATACACACAACCTTGGTCAAACCCCTCATTATCTGAATCAGAGCCCAGACTTCTCAAATCATCTCCAGAGTACACACAATCACTGTCTTCCATGTCTTCCACTCCCCATCCTACAAACTCATTGTCATGGTTCTTGTTCATGAAACTGGTGACACAATCTTTATCTTCATCTTCACCTCCATCAGAAAACATGCTAGCTTCAAATGTCTCTCCCTTTGATGTAGAAGTTGAGCTATTGTCATCATTGTAGTCATCCATCTCTTCGAGCTCATCTAGAATGAAAGAAGACACATTGACATCGTAGTCCCATTGATCCTCATCCATATGCTCCACGATGATCTCTACCTCCCTATTTTCTGGCAGCTCATAACAAATGTTATACAGGTCTTCATCTGTCTTGATTGTTCTCACACGAGGAAATTTCCCAGAACCATATTTCAACCAAAATGTAACCTTCTTAGAGCAGAACCTTAGCTTCTTCACCAACTTTCTGAACTCTAACATACTTGCCTCCTCTCCATTGAAGTAATCAAAGTACTCTACTCTCCCATTCTTATATTGCACCACAGGTTGATGCACCAAAGTTCCAGCATAGTACATCTCGATTGTGTATGTATGGCTTTCATCCTTGGTATCTACAAAGCATATCAAGTAATACAAATACTTCATTACTCGTGAAATACTTTCTACAAACACAAACCATAACAAATAAAACAATAGATCAATCAACCACACAAAGCCATAGTACCATTAATTTCTAAGCTCCCATTATTATATACAAAGCATAACCAATAACACTAACACTACACCAAAATCGTACATGTAAATCACTGCATGTCAACTACGGATACTATACAACCCATAAATGTCATTGTCTTTACCATTACAAAACTTAACAACGTAGAACTTTGGTTACAGGTCTTACACTTCGGAGTGGCATTTAAACCATTTAATCTTCGACTGGTCATCCTTCCCCCTTCCTCCGTCACAACTTCGAACTTCAACCGTAAAGCTAACCTTCAAAAAACGCAAGCCATGTCCAACGGAACCTTCGTTTTCAGAGAAGTATTGGTGATAATGGAGTTGAGAGTGATTATCGAGATAAAGAGTTGAGGTGATGAGGGTTAAAGAGAATCATACGAAATTAGGGATTTAAACGTTAAGAAAGTGAATTTACGCTTTTACCCCTCATTAAATGGAAGACCGTCTGCCGTTAGTTGGACTTCTGATGGCAGGGACGCCATTTAATGTAAGCGGGTCAATTCAGGGGTGTAATTTGAAATCGCAGAAACACATGTATGAGATTTTAATTTCGTGGATAACTGAGGGACCATATATGCGATTTTTCATATTAAAAACCTCAATTGATAATTAATACCCCCTCTGTCCCATTGGACTTTGCCAACTTTCCCTTTTTGGTTGTCCCAAAAAACTTTTTCATTTTCTGATTAAAATAACTATTTTGTGGTGATTTTCATTTCTCTCCCCTCTCCTCAAACTCTAACCACACAATTTCTAGTATTCTTTTTTCTCACCTAATTCCAAGAGTGCAAAGTTCATTAGGACGGAGATAGTATTAGACTATTTGATGTCATCATGTTGGCAAACATTTCCTGTGCATCACTTGGCCACCAACCCCACTCCCCTTCCTTTTTTCTTTTAGCCCCCATGCTTGACACCCTTAAAATATACTCTCTCCATCCCCTTCTACATTTTTACCCCATTTAGGCAAACACAACAAGGATTTATGAGGCAAAAAATTCCACTTTTAATATTTTGAACTCCTAATCTTACACCACTCCAAGTGATCTTATAGTTTAGTTTAATACAAGTATGTCCCGAGTGTTACACTAGTCAATAAATTAACTTATAAATAAGGGAAATCATTTATAAAAGTCTTCTAAGAAAAGTCCACATATAAAAAAAGGAAATCTCGCTCGTTGGCTGCCCTGAATAGCCCGTCTTCAGTTGTCATTCACCCCGCGAAAGACTTCACAGCTGAAGCTCAGCCGGCGAACCATTAGATTCTACCGGTTGAACTTCATTTCCATGTATTGGGGGAGACTAAATCTCTAACGCCTGTTTCCTAGGGTTAATCTTTAATGCTTCGTCTCGTAACTTACCAATTCAACAGTAGCAATGGTATGCTGGATCGCTCTTCTCTGTTTCCTCTCGCGTCTTCAGGTCTCCCTCTCAGGTCCGTGGTTTTCTTCTTACTAAACCCTCTTATATCATTAATTTACTGAAAGTTCAATTATTAGTCGAGCTCAGTGCAGGTTTTTTGAGGTCCCAGACCAAATTTATTGTTGACTACAATCTTGAAATAGAGAAAAACGGCGTTCTTCTTCTTAAATATCATTTGAAAATCATATTAGTTATGTATTCATTTGAATCCAAAAAACTTTGAAATCCACTCTCTCAATTGTTAAACTCAAAACAAATTGAGACAACTATTAGCATAGTTAAGCACATTAAGAGCATATTATTTTACTTTATATTGAATAGTAGTATGAAGTAACACTCACGAGGAGCCCAGACTGCTAATATATTTGCGTGTGAAACTAGATTTTTTGAACATGAGTTCATAGCGGAGTCCTGATTTAAAATTTCAAATCCTAACATACTTTCTGAAGATTTTTTGCGTTGTAAATTACATACGTAGTATTTGATAAAGTAGCAAGTGGAAATTCAGAGTACACGTTTCTAGTATATAACCATATAGGATTAGATGACTATGAAAAGTTGTGAATTTATACATCTAGTGTATAACAACATGTAGTTCATGTTATTTTCTGAATATAAAGTAACATCTACAAGGGTCCCAAACACTGATCTATTTTCTAGTGAAAGTAGCTTTAAAAAAACAAAAAAAACAAAACAAAACATGAGTTTATACTGTAGTCCCTATTTCAAATTGCTAACTTACATTCTAAAGAATTTTCTAGTTGGAAATGACTTCTTGATAGAAGTAGCAAGTGAAAATTCAAAGAGTCACTCGTTTATACTATATAGATATATAGTACTATCTATTAGGTAAATATGAAAGATTGTTTTAAGTGATTACTATCTCCCACTGTTTTTGCAAAAATGGCATGTATGTAGTCTTAAGTTATTTATGCAGGATATCAAGTTAAAATTAATGATGTATAAATATAATGCAGATCTGGAATTACATTGAAGCATCTTGAAGGATAAAAAGACATGATTAGCCTCACATGCTTTGAAAATGTACCATATTTTTATATGTTTATCTTTTTTAGTTTTTATAAATACCGGAAATTATCATATGCTGCCCCTATAATAATGGTGTCATAGGCATGAGACTGGGTGCATTCTCTTTGCTGGCCAGCCCTGGTCTAGATGCTTCATTATGGAGAATTATGTCGTTAAACTGTTCATAATTAATGGCCAACTAATTCAGTTACTTTAATGAATTTCAAATGCACGCAATTAAACTAATCTGGCATCTGCAGCACATGTATTTAAAATGAACTTATTATTTATGTTACTCTTGTGCGGGGGATGTGAGGATACATAAGGGTTGAAGTTGAATGATTAGTTGAATCTAGATCAACTTTTATTTAAAAGAACATATGTATTTTCTAAAGGAAAAGTTAATTAAACAGTCATGTACTTGGTGGTCATTTGTGAAGCTAACTAATGTGGGTTCAGCATGTACATTGTATAAGACGAGCAAGCAAAGTACTCAGTTTATATAATGTGTAAGTCAATCAATTGACCACTACTATGAAGTGCAGAACTGCCAAACAGAATATGTTGAAGTATGGTACTCCGTTTTTGGAAGGCCAGTCTTGTTATCATGGTGACATAGTCTCGAAAAGACACAACTGTGATCAAATATCTCGAATATATCAACTAATATACAATCTCTAGATTGGTTTATGTACTATAGAGTGAGCTAATAAGTAGTATCAAATGGCTAGTTGCTTACATTTTTTAAGTGTGATGATTCAAAAGTTGTCATATGTTTAACAGCTTCACCAAAAGAGAAATCTTTTAAATCGGTTCCTGATCTTGAGAGGTCCATGTATGTGGCAATTGATGGATATCCATGTGTACGACTACTTAACCTTTCTGGGGAGATTGGCTGTTCAAGTATGCACTTCGTTTACAATGTTTTTATATTTATTACATAAAGGAGAGTAAATTTGTTGTCCATTTGTGTATGTTTTTTAATTTGAACTGGCTTATTAGACCCTGGCCGTGGGAATGTTGTTGCTCCAGTTGTGAGGTTCAAGGATACAATTAAGTTGACCAAGCCAGCAGCTATTTTGATTTCACTTGAAGAATTCAATACTTTTCTCACAAGGTTTCTATATTTCTCTTCAATTTGCAATGTTTGGATGACATCCTTTCGTACCAGTGTTGATTTTCCTTACCCACACCCGATATTTCTCTTTCAATAATCGGTTTCATTTACTTCATGTCCTTACTTATAACCCATGGTGATACACCGATACTGCATGTCATGGATATTAAAGAATTTACCCTTACAGACTTACTGAGTCCCGTTTGCTTCTTTTCTTAATATGTTACACTGCAAAATAGTATAAAGATGTGTCACAAAGCACTTGTTTATAGGTTTTGTGCTGACCTGTAATGAATAGTCAGTTATGCAACTCTGTACGATATCATTGACTTATAAGGCCACATTCCTTTCAGATTTTCAAGCGATTCCAATTTAGCAAAACATGTAGCTGGTTTGTTAGTTGAATCAGGAACTCAGTCACAAAATAGATCAATAGGTAAGTGTATTCCATGCATGTGATCGCTTAAGTATGAACATGTACTGTTCATTTTGAAGTTTGTACATTTCTCGAAAGAGTATCTCAATGCTTCTCTTTTGCAGGATTTTCACCTGACAAGAAGTTTCCACTGGCAGAATTTGCCCCTTATACTAATGGCAACTTTGAATGGAATCCTATTGTATGTGAATTATGCTTTTCTTTTAATATTGTTTTTTTTTGTGATTCATATCGTTTAATGTTTTGTTATATTCTAATATAAGGAAATGCAGCAATTGTTTTTCACTAACCCATAAGCGTTACAAAAGGTGTATACTTTATGAAAAATTTATTTTTTGACTTTTTTAAGGAAAACTATAACCCTCGTTGGTCCGAAAACAAAATTAACCATCAGCTTGGTGGCTAGGGTTTGCAACAGCACTAGAAAAAAAATTCTTCCTTAACTCAAGAAGTTCCTTAATGTGTAAGGGAACTTGTATCAGAAGTGTAAACCAAACTTGTGTGTTTTATTTATATGTTTTTGTTTATCTTCATGTGGGGGAGGGATGAGCCAATTGTTAGTTTTGTATTAATGGTGCGTATACTGCTAGCTTTGGAAATTCTTCCCTTAGATCTATGTTTGCTTATGTTTGTGTTTATATGTAATTAGTAAACAATGCAATTTCAACAAACGAATTACAGGATTTGTACGTTGTATTACTTTTACATTCAATTTTTTTTGGCCTTCAGGGATCTGGAGTCATGTGGGAGGCTTATAATTTTCCTATATTCCTACTTTCAGCAAGTGGCACACTTACATTGAGGGAGGTCTGGTATTCCTCTTCCTCCAGCTCTCTTTCACTCTGACATATTATAGAATATATCAGTGTTTTCAATTCCGGATAGCGGCCAACCCCAAGAACGCTACCACGGATAGTGGGATGCCGCTATTGGAAAATATATATGCAAAATACGTATTATATGTACGCAATTACACATACATTACATGAAATGCACATATCAAGTCCAAGAAATGATGAATCACAAATATATTACTCAAAATCCCAAACGTCATGAAATTTATACTTACTAAATTACCAATAACAAGGCATTCGTGTTTTAAACAAAAAAACAAATAATTTAAGTAACTAACCTTTAAACTTTAAAAATTAAAAATTAAGATCCTAATAAATCTTGTTAAATCAGCGGTCATCAATATCTCATTATTAGAAAATCATGGTTGTTGGGATGCTTTGAAATACCTTAACTGGAGATGTACGATGTAGGTCATGTTTAATCTTAGTAGGATTTATTAGGGTTATTTTGTCCCCCATGTGTTTTGGAGGGTACAGTGAGGTTATTTTTTTACTCTAAAAAACATCTAAAAGTAAAAAATACTCCCAAATCCCCTCAAAACTAGCCATATAGCCTGCTACAGCCGCTCTTCTTCCCGCTATAGCGCCTGCTACTAACGCTATATTCAACCACTCTGCTATAGGTAATCTGATAGCGCCCAGCCCCCGCTCCGCTCCGCTACTTTGCTATAACACCGCTATAGCGCGCTATTGACATAACTGGAATATATAATGCTAACTTTATGGCCGACTTAGCAAGTGCTAACGTGCTAAGGAGTACTTTCATGATGGAGGCTTAATAGATTCGGGAGAGAGCCTAACCATAATCTTCACTGTCTTCATTCACCGATATTTACCTGGTTATAATTGAATTTGCAAATAAAGAAGCTAGGTTGCTGAGTTCTGCAATCACTGCAAATCTGACTTTTATTTTTAACAATAAATGATCTAATAACTACAAATTTGAGTTGATCAAGCTTTCTTCATGATGACACACTATACACTTTCAGAGAATATAATTTTCATTTATGTTGCTCTTAAGTTTTGAAATGGTTATGTGTAGATTGCCATAAAAAACGAGGGGGGGAATTCACACACTGAAGATGTGGCTGATTTTGAATTAGTAATGCAGGTAATTTAGTAACATCTTGTGTTACTTCATCAAGTCCATAAAAAAATCTCATAGAATGTGCACATGTTTTCGGGTTTTTTTTAGACAACAAAGTCTGGAACCCATGACTCAGAATCTTGTCTTAGAGAACAGACTTGCTTGCCACTGGGTGGATACAGGTAAACTATTGAAACTGGAGTTAAAATAGTGCGCATTTGTGGTTTATCAGATTATATTATTTTTGAGCAGTGTTTATTCCTTTAGTTTGTTTTATGCTAAATAGTTTTGTTTCCTTAGTGAATGTCCCTGTAGTATGTTTTATGCTAAATAGTGTTTGTCATTTGACTCATTTCTTTTAAGATACGTTAGTAACTTAGTACTATAAGTTTATGATTTACAATTTTCTATTGCACCTTGTGCACCATATATCTATTGAATTTATAGGGAGTCAATTTACCTACAGCTTCCCATTCAAGTTTTTAATCCATAGCTGATAGTAGCTTGTATTTCTACTGCGCCAGTGTGTTGTATGGGCTACAACCTTTTAAGATGCATCTGTTACCTCGTAATAATTTGATGCACCAGCACCTGTTTGTAAAAATGTATTTACTAAGTTTATTGTTTTCCTACCCTTGAATTATATGCTAGAGAACAAACATACCCTCAACTTTCATTTGGAACGATTAAACACAAAAATTGTAAAGTTAGAACTAGTATACTCTTATGTGCAAATAGCTACAGGTATATATGTTCTCTGATGTATAGTTGAGGGGTGTATGTGTTCTCTCATATATAGTTCAAAGGTATATTTGTTCCAACTTTACAACTTTTTGTTTAATTGTTCCAAAAAAGTTGAAGGATGTATTTACAATAATGCAACACATTTTTGGAATTTATTTACTCATTTGCTAGCCTAATATAATTCTACTTTGAAGGGCAGTGTCTGGTCAGCACTTCCACCAATCAAAATATCTTCTGAAAAATCAAGGCCTATTATATTAGCAGTTGCTTCTATGGATTCTGCTTCATTTTTTCGTGACACAAGTATCGGCGCGGATTCCCCAATATCTGTAAGTCCTTCGTTTTTATGGACGATGAATCTTTATATCATTATTATTGCTGTGGACAATATAAATTAGTTATAAACATCCGAAATGATTTCTTATGGTAATTTATTTCTAACAGAAAATCACTTTTGAACCATTTACTAGGGATTAATCTCACTCTTGGCTGCGGTAGATGCTCTTTCCCGTGTTGATTGCTCAAGCCATAACTTAAATAAACAAGTGGGTGTTTAATTAAATTTGCACTTGCCTAATTATCTATCATTAATTGCAGCAATTTGTTAATGTTTCTGATATTGACAAATGATAGTTCTGGTCTTCTTTTGGATTCTTGCCTTTTTTCATCTAAATGTGATTCAAACAAGTAATAGCACAACTCAAGCTGAAAAGGACCTACTTATTTTAATCATTAGAACAACTCCCTCGTCCTATAGATAAATGATTCAAGTCCCATGAGGAATCTGTTCTAATGTGAGGATGCATAGTTTGTATTTGGTTTGTCAACATCACAGATGTATTAGACTGTGATGTTATGCGTCAGTCATCGTATCTCGTAAGCAACACAAAAGAAAAAGAAAAAAATGTTGACTTGTCTATGCTTTGTGTTGATGATGGTTATTATATTTTTATGTGTTGGTAAGTTATACGGTTTCTTTCTTTTTGGTGTAGAATTCTTTTGTTGCAACTTATTCTATTCTACAACCTCTGCTCTGCTATGCTTATATGTTTGCGCTCGATTTCCTCTGCTGCAGCTTGTATTTGTGGTTTTCACAGGAGAATCTTGGGGATATCTTGGTAGCAGGAGGTTTCTTCTAGAACTTGATCAACATTCAGATGCTGTTAGGGGTCTTGATTTTTCAATGATTGAGACGGTACTTGTTTGCATGAAAATGTCAAACATTTTTAATGCACAACACATTAAAGCTAACTGCCAATCTTCCTCTCCTTGAGTGGTTAAACAGTAAACCCCATACAGTAGCTTTTCACTACAAAACAATCCAACTATACCTTTGTAGTCTTGTGAGGTTAATTAATTTGTTTAAATTTATCATCATTGGGAGAGAGGGATGAAATGTACATTTGAGATCCTCATCAATATTTACAGTCATATTATGTTACATTAAATAACTATACAGACATAGAACATACACAGATACACATTCTATACTCTAAAGTGAACTTTGATCAATGGAAACTTGCTTCTATGAGACACCAAGTGAACTTAGGCTCCATTTGTTTACTGAAAAATATTTCGTGAAAAATATTTTATTATTTTCCAGTGTTTGACGCAGTAAATAATAGTTTGTAACGGGGTATATTTTGCAGAAAAGAATGTCTGGTATCTGGCACAGGGTATATTTTTCTAAAGGGGAATAGTTTCTTTGATTCTTACTGTTGTGGATAGCTTCCATTTTTTGAAACTGTTTTTTATGGGTCTAACATTATAAGCTGTTATATGCATAACAATTATTATTTAGGACATATTCCTTTAGGACATTATCAGTAAGTAATTTACCCAGAAACAAATGGAGACTTAAAATTTGAAAAGATGGAGCCTTAGAATGTGACAGCACTCCCTTCTAATTTTCACTATAGAAATTCTTAGGGTATGTTTGGTTCCCAAGAAATGTATGTAAAGCATGAAGAAAAATGAAAAATGATTACCTAATCAATTATTTTAAATATGTTTAGATGAATCATAACTGATATGATTCTTCTTCTTCTTCTTCTTCTTCTTCTTCTTCTTCTTCTTCGTGTGGACGATTGATCTCTTTTCTCTCTCTCGTTTTCTTTAATCTTTTATCTTCTTTATCTTTCTATGTTCTTATGTTATTTTTATCTTTTATCTTTATATTTTTCTTACCTTTCGTCTCTTTTTGGCTCTAATGTCATGGATTGGTTCATGTTAGCCGACCCCAAAATCTTTTGGGAATAAGGCTTGGATGTTGTTGTTTGTTGTACGTTTAGATTTATTATTTATTTAATTAATAGACTTAAATAAGAAAAATGAGCATTTCCAAATACTATGTATATAAGATAAATTTATCTAGTTTTAGCATATCATTTCCCCCATATTTTCTTTTCTTGCAATTTTCCTCTAGGCTTTCTTTCCTCAGTATGTTTTGGATTCTAAACAGACCCCAGGTAAATTATAAAGGTATATGGATGATATATTTATGAATGAATTCACCATGGCATCAAATTGTGTCTTAGATGGAAAAGTTTCATTTTTCTCCTCCTATATGGTGCTGATATTCACTATAAAAGGCAAAAGGAGTTATTTCTTTGAGTATATTTGATGATAGGGAAACTTGTAATGTTAAACTATTTGTAGGTTTTAGAAATTGGGTCAGTTGGGAAGAGTGTCACCGATGGCGTAAAGAAATTCTTTGCTCATCTTACTGAGGTAAGATGTTTGATGTTTCTCACTTGCTTTGCTTGAAATGTTAGGTATAACTATTGAGAATACGCGGAACTATGTTTACCCTACAATTTTTTGTACTCCCTCCGTTCCCAAAAATACTTCCCACTTTCCTTTTTGGGCTGTTCCCAAAAATACTTCCCACTTTCCCATTTTGGACAATTTGTGTGGCTCACATTCATTTTACCTTTTTGCTTACACAACCACAACCATACATTTCCACTTTATTCCACTTTCTTAATAAGCGTGCCAAGTCAAACCGGGAAGAATTTTTAGGAACGGAGGGAGTATATGTTATTGTAATGTCCACTATGTGGTTCCTTTACGGGGTTTGATGCTCACAGATCTTAAATTAAAGAAATGGTGAAACAAGTATTAATACTTCAACTTTGCTTGGTGTACACCTTTTGTGTACACACGTCTGTCCCCAGCAGACGAGTTGGTGTCTGTCCACATACAACTTTGCTAGGTGGACAGACAACACCTAGAGTTGTCTGTCCACAGACAACTCGTCTGCTGGGGACAGACGTGTGTACACAAAAGGTGTACACAAAAGGTGTACACAACGCATTTTTCTTAATACTTATTAGCTGGAGTTAATTCCAGAATGGTCTCACTGTGTCACAACTATACACGCGTTCCAATTTGCCATCCACTAATCATGGGGAAATGTGAAACGGCATCTTTTAATATAAAAACATTTGTTTGGAGAGTTTCCGAAGAGTTTCGGAAACAGAAACATACTCTTTCCCAAGAGTTTCCGTGTTTCATAGGTCACCAACTGTAGAATTAATCAAGAGGATCAACTGTTCGTTTCATACCTGTTAGCATTATATATATTATGACACATATGCTATCCTTTTTCGCAGGGCTCTTCTTCAAACAAAACTTGGAATTCATTGCTTCATGCTCAAAACTCACTGAAAACAGAAAACATTGAAGTCTCAAAGGCAAAGAAATCAAATCCTGGGTTACCACCATCTTCATTAATGGCATTTATGAGAAAGGTTAGGGTAAAAAATGTGTTGCATTATGGTCTCAACTTTGTCCACTGTTTTAATAATAAAAAATCCATTTCTGGCTCAATTAGACTGAATACATTGTTTGATCCTGGTGTAAATTTAGAATTCCCTCTGCACATGCCCTAGATTTCTAGAGTAGTAGAACATTAAGTTCGGCCAAGTAAATATTTTTGACACTTAACCCGTTCTAACAGAATCCGCAAACTTCTGGCATAGTTTTGGAAGATTTCGATGATGCATACAGGAACAATTTCTATCATAGTCACCTTGATGATCTTAGTGAGTTAATCTTATCATATTTCTCCTTGCTTAGTCCATCTTTTGCTAGATACATAGTCTTTTCATTCAATGTGTTGCTTTGATGATTTTAGCAGCCAACATCAACTCTTCAGCGTTAGTCACAGCTGCTTCTCTCGTTGCCCGAAGTTTATACATCCTTGCCAGTGTCAAGAATGAAGTTAATGCTTCGCTTCTAAACACTATCAATGCAAATTCTTCATTGGTGGAAGAACTTCTCAGTTGTCTCCTAAGTTGTGAACCAGGCTTATCATGTGAAGTTGTGAAACGCTACATTTCTCCTTCCTTCAGTTGCCCAAACCATTATGTTGGTGTTATCACTGGGGAACCTTCCTCTGTGCCTTATCCTGGTAATGTGGGGGATATCTCTCGGTTTATATGGAACTTTTTGGCAGAAAAAACATCCATCCCACCTTCAAATACCAGTTCTGCTTGCCCAGAAGATTGTGGCAATGTTGGGGAATCATGCATCCAAACAGAAACAGACAGGAAGGGCATATGTGTCATCTCCACCACAAGGTACAGAGCATTTTTAAAGACTCAAATATAGCATCTTTTTGTCTCAAGTTCCATGCAAATTCAATAATAATACTAATAATATTTTTATTATTATGATTAATATTACTCCTTCCGTATTTTTAAGATTGCTACATATGACTTTGGCACATAATTTGAGGAGGAAAGTAGTAGGAGTAATGAATAGTGTAGAAAAAGTAGGGGAGAAGTTTTTTATTAATAACCCAATCAATTCTGAGAAAAAAGATTCTATTACCTTCGGTGTAAAAAGTAGAAAAAACAAGGGTAATTGAGTTTTTTAATGGGAAAACCTATCAAAAAGGGAAAATGTAGCAAACTTTTAAATACATCTCAAAAAGGAAAGTGTAGCAAACTTTAAAATACGGAGTAACAATGTTTTAAAAGACGCTAGGTGCTAGTCGGACGCTAGCCCAGTGCCTAGGCGAGGACTAATCGGAGACACATAAATTGTATTTTTATCAATATTTTTGCATAAATATGATAAGTAATACTACCTCCGTCCCGGAAAGGTTCGCCAAATTGACTTTTCTTGGTCAATGACAATCAACTTTGACTAATGATATTTTCTTGATACGAAATTATTTAAAATATAAAAATTATATCAAAATGTTCCTCATTCAAAATATTTTCATAAAAGTGTAAAATTTATAAATTACAAATATAGTAACTAAAATCATCGTCTAAAGTTTGCCATCATTGACCAAGAAAAGTCAATATGGCGAACCTTTTCAGGACGGAGGTAGTACATAGTTTCACATGTATAAATTGTATTTAAAATACACCCACATTAACATGCATGAATGATAACTTAATTGCATTATGTTATAAATAATGTATGAAAACTGATCACTTAATTGCATTATGTTATAAATATTAAATAATAATAAAATTTAAGTATATATACAAACATATATAGTTTTTATCTTAATATACAAGTATCTTTCTTCATATTCGTGATTAAAGTTAAAGGTACACATATCTCTTACAAAAAGAAAATTAAAAATAAAACTTGTTAGGCTAATCTAGACGCCCTAGGCGGCGATTAGGAGTTCTGGACGGACAACTAGGCGCCCTAGGCGGCCGACTAATTCACCTAGGCGCCAAACTAATTAGTCGGGGCTCCTAGACAAAAATTGGGGTGCCCGGCCACCGCCTAGCGCCTAGGCGGGGACTAGTCGGGCGCCTAGAGCGATTTTTAGAAAGTGCAGAGGAGTATTATTCTTCATCCATGTAATTTAGTTTATTTTCTTTTTAGCTCCTCCAAAATTCTCCATTGGACTGTTGTTTTTAAAAAGGCTTGCATGGCAAACACAAACTTCTCATAGAACTCCAGTTTTGCTTCTCCACACTTTCTTTAGAAGTACTCAATATTATACAATAGTATTTCAATAGTCGGAGACACGTAAATTTAAAGTAGAACAGTGAGTATCATTCAGCCCCAATTCTCCTTGTAGTCCCAGAAGAGGTATAGAAAGTCGACTTGGAAAGGTGAGACTGAAGTAGAGGTTGACAAAGAGGGACACACAAAAGAAAACATTGTAATTTGCTTGCAAGAAAACCAAAATAATACAGTAATAATTAAAGGTCAAAAAACACAGTTACTACACAATAGTCCATTACTATTTTGAGTGGGGAAATGTGTAATTTCAGGTATGTACCAGCTTATTCAACTAGATTGAAGTATGAAACAGATACTTGGAAAGTTCTACCTTCCAACGCCACTATTGGGGCATCTGAATCCGACCAGGATCCTGTTTGGACGGAGAGTAATTGGGACACAATAAAGCTTCGAGTTTACACAATGCAGGATGCTGCATTCGATCGCTTTGTTCTGCTACTTGGAATTGGTGTTACGGTTTCAGCTTACCTCTTAATAGTGATGGCCAGAGCCTTCATCACAAAGGCCATGAAGCGTGATTGACTTAGAATATACTCTGTAACGTTTTTTGCACTATCTAACTTTGGTGTACCATTTAGGGTGCTTCCTTACTTTACGATTTTTTGTTTTTGTTTTCCATTTCAAAATGTTCTTTTTTTCATACAAAAAAACTATTGATGCATGCTAACCTCACTGTATGTGTATTGTCTTCGAATGAGTTTTTTGGCATGCTAGTTCACTTTTTACTATGCGTTTATTAGCTTTGTTATTTGCTCTCCTCATCTCAAGTCTCAAGTCACTCACAACATTGGAGGTATTCCTGAGATTAATATGACAGTATGACTACAGGATGAAGTTGACAAATGACTACGATTGAAACCATTAAAGGATCACATTCTTTCAACTATATGGGAATTCAAAGATGACATTTCAAAACAGACCATAACGGGTCATTTTGTTGACAAATGACAAGATGTAATTATGTAGAAATGGAATATAAATTTGAAAAAATGGCCTGGTTATTAGTATTGGACTTTTGATTTCCAAATATAAGACTCTTTTGACACATTCCAAAAAAGTGACCCGCTGCACATCATCAACGGCACCGCCTTCTCTCTTCCTTCCAAAGAGCTCCCACCAAACCCTTTCTTTCTGCCATCCTTTCATCGCCGGAGCCAAGGAGCCATTCACCGTCGCCTCCTAGCCACATCGACCGTAAGAGCATCCCAGTTGCGGTGGTGGCCGTCGCCTACGCCTTGCACCGTCGCCTACACCTCTCATTGTCATTGCATCATCTTTCTTCTTCATCAATTCAGTGTTGCAGAGGCTCGACAAGGGACGAAGATTTGTATTCAGATCTACGCCGCCACCACCTACGTATTCAGATCTGTGATGACGACTTTAATTTTTCAGATCTGAGGTTGGTGTTCGGTGATGGAGATGGCTAGGTTAAGAGGTGAGCAAATTAAAGGTGGGAGAGGGAGAATCATAGGCGGACTTGGTGGGTCTGGCCGCTTGGAACAAGGGAGGGGGAAATGGTGGGCGGCGGTGGGCCTGGTTGCGCCTATGGCAGGGAAGAAGGTCTGGGCATGGTATTGGGGAAGATGTGGTGGGGCATGAGAGGGTGTTAGGGGATGGAGGTTGGGGCTGGGGGATAGAGGCTTGTGGCTAGGGGCTAGGGGATGGGGGATGAGGAGTCGAGCTGGGGGGGGGGGGGGCATGTTCAGCAATGGAGGTCCGCGGTGATGGTCGGCGGCGGCGCTAAGGTGGGGTTGACCGGGGACGGAGGTTGAGGGGGCTATGACATCGGAGACGGCGTGTCACTGTAGCCGGTGGGCGAGCAGTCACTGTGGTCGGTGGGCGGGCAGTCACTGTGGCCGATGGGTGGTGGGTGGGCAGTCATTGTGGCCGGTGGGTGGGCAGTCACTGTGGCCGGTGGCAGGCGAAGTCACTGTGGCGGTGGTGTCACTTTGACCAGAGTCATTGAGATAGTGACTGATAACGGCGGTGCCGGTGACGGCGACGGTGCTGGGGTCGGCGGCCACATAAGTGTTGGTGACTGTAAAGGAATATTATTAAAATAATAAATGTATGATTAAATATAAGGAATAAATTGACTTTTAATCACTTTTTGGAAAAATTTAAAAGAAGCCACATTGTTGTCTTTTTTCATTCATTTTAGTAATATTGGAATAAAAATATTAGAACAAGATTTAGGAATTAAGTACCGATCCAGAATTATGTAGTGTTTTGTCAACTACGGAACATCAATGGGAATAACTTCCACAATTATCAAATACCTTCATCCCAAATAAATGATACTCCGCGTAATAATGTAAAGTAAAAATAACAGTTATAAATTGTTATACGAGTGATCTTGATTTAAGTAAGATCTGATCATCTTATTCCAGACATCACAATCTTATACAAAATGTCATGCATGACTGCATGAGTTTATAAAAAGTTTCTTCAAAACAAACTAGAGGGCCACAATTATATTAACCTGGGATATTTCTAGCATTTATGATTCCATATATTTAAAAGAATTTGAATTAAATGGAAATTTGAATGTTCTCGACCAAACATGGGTAGAATTGACTTAATTGAGTTTTTGGAATTGAGGGAAATAATTTATTTCCTCCCAACCAAACATGTTGTACAACATAGTTTAGTAGATCACAGTACACATACTACAGGCAATCAAATATGACAAATGAAGTTTTGAAACAGGCAGGAAACAGAGGTTTCCCCAGTGGTCTAAACATTATAGCAACAACAATAATGGTAACAACAATCATAATGAAACTCGGGATGTTGCCTTGCCAAACAACACCTAGCTATGTTTTGTTCTATAAGACGAAATCAAATGTAACAGAGGTGTAGTTTGACAAGAACTCAAATAGAGAAAAAAGGGAAGAGAGAAAGATAAGAACAAGTGAATTTTGGTTGTTTGTTTAGGAGAGAAACCTGGAAGACATGAAAAAACAAGTAGGACGCGTTGGTGGAAGAAAATCATGTGATCAGGAGCAAAATATGGGTAAAGTGCATCAAACTAAATTACTGTAAATAAGAGTAAAACACAAGTATATGAATAGATTTATCCTTTTTTTATCCAAAAAAAGAAAAACATCCATTTAGTTCTAATAAATGAATAATAGTAGATGTTAAGTTGATAATCAAATCTTCTTCCGTTCAATAAAGTAGTAGATAAGTGGTCTGCATATATGTTAGCTTTTTATGTACCTACATGTTTTTCAAAAAAATAATAAAATAAAAAGAGTGATTTACCTAAATAAGACTAAAACTTGTCAAAAATGCAAAAGTAGGACCATTAGTTTTCCGTTTAATTCGATACGACTAAAAATAGAATGGAATCACAAAATTGCCCCTGATTTACGGGCTGCCTCACTTTCTTCCCAGCAGCGATTAATTTGTGCGACGATGATGGGTGCGAAGAATGTAGCCGACGATAATAGCTCTGCTGCTACATGCCCAGTTAAGCTCCTTCTCCTGCATCTCATGTGTTTTCTTCTTCCATGTTTTTTTTTGTTTTTCTTCTTTCTTTGGATGTCTAAATTATTTCTTTTGGATGTCATCATAGTTATTTTATTTAAACACTAATTTCAAAGTAATGTTACTGTTATGTCATCACAATCATCAAGATGACAGATTTATTTTACATATTTATTAAACATTTGAAGCAAAAACTTGACATTTTCAGAGTAATAATGACATTCTCGTGAAAAACATGACATTTTTTATAAAGTAAAAGGAGAGAGTGCCATGTTTATACATTTGTAAATGTCATCTTCATGACAGTTTTACTTTAATCTTTATTGAACATTTGAAGCAAAACTTGACATTTTCGGAGTAATAATGACATTCTTTTGATAAACATGACATTTTTTTATAAAGTAAAAGAATGAGAGACTGTCATGTTTTATACATTTGTAAATGTCATCTTCATGACAGTCTTTCTTTACAACTTTACTGAACATTTGAAGCAAAACTTGACATTTTCAGAGTAATAATGACATTCTCGTGATAAACATGACATTTTTGATAAAGTAAAAGAAGGAGAGACTGCAATGTTTTATACATTTGTAAATGTCATCTTCATGAAGAAGAAGAAGAAGAAGAAGAGGAAGAAGAAGAAGAAGAAAAAGAAGAAGAAGAAGAAGAGAAGTAGCAGGAAGAGTAATACCTGAAAGTTTGAAATTGAAGTTGACGTCACCATCATTTTAATTTGGAAGATAAAATCTTCTAAACGGAAGAGGGAAGATCAGGTGATGCAGAGGTGTTTCAAATTCAATCAGAAATGGGAGAAGAGATAGATCGGTGAAATTTCCGATAAAGAAATCTGAGGTGGAGGTACAGAGAGATTAGAAGACGAGCAGCAAAAGTAATTGGGGATTTTGAACATCTCTGGAGAAGAAACGTACAAGGCGGCGATGCGGACCTGCTCAATGTTGAAGGCGGCGATGAGGAATAAGAGAAGGATTGAGCGACAGAGGAAAACAAGGGCTTTTTGGACATTGCAGAAACTGTAAAAAGTCGGGAGAGGAGCGTATCAGTCCTATAATAGGAATAAAACATGATAACTCCTATTTTAACTTTTTATCAATCTTTTAGTCCTATTTAGGACAATTTTTTCAAATAAAAATGGAAGTCTGTCTCTACAAAACTTGAAAAATAACTTGTCCCCTTCCACCAGAATACAAAACCCTGGATGCATTCTCTGGTCATTATGAAACATATATATTCCAAAGGGAGGTAAATTGACAAAGTGACATACAAACAATGTAGTCATTGGCAATTACATATCAAAAGTCATATCAGTTACAACAATGTCCCAATTTTGTATACTTGTACACAATAATGGCTCGCTTACAAATGCCAGCCTGCTTTATTCTTCTTCTTCTTCTTCAAACATTGGCTGCCGGGGATGCTTCACTTTTCCATCCTGTGTCACAGCCATAATGAACATAAATAAGGAGTTCATTTTAGAAAAATTCCTTTTGTACACCTTATACACACCAGTACACCTCCGTGTCTGTGAGAGTTTTTTTTTGTCTGTGAATCCCAATCGACAATCGACAGACAAAAACTGACTTGTTCTCTGTAGATTTTTCACAGACAAAACAAGCTGGTTTTGTCTGTGAACTGGAATTCACAGACAAAAAAAACCTCTCACAGACACGGAGGTGTACTGGTGTGTATAAGAACGTGTATACCAAGAATTTTTGTTCATTTTAATATACACAATGAACACTTGTAAGTTGCTTTATTATTATTCAACGTTTTTGCTTTATCAGATGTTTCTTCACTTGCAAGTAAAATAAGAAAAGTAGTTATAAAAGATGAACAATCAAATTGTAAGTTTGCAAGAAAGAAAACATGACATGCCGCCATACATACCTTATGAATCTTCACTTTTGATTTTGGAGAGTGATGCAATGTTGCTCTCTTTGTAAGACTTCTCCCAGTCGGTTCCATCAAACTGTTTGATCTCAACATGGGATAGAGTGCCGTGATCCACACACCTGAATGTAATGGCTATTCCGTCCGGATTCGTCCGTGGAATGTAGAAGGAAGTAATTCCACAAACTTTGCAGAAAATATGTTTTGCAGTATGAGTACCATAAGTATAGGTGGTAAGGAACCGCTGGGAATCTCCAAGAAGCTCAAACTCTTGAGATGGAACAATGAAGTGGGTGTTTCCTCTCATGGAGCAGTCGGAACAATTGCATGCCCAAGCAACAACCCTAGCTGGTGCCCTCACTCGCCATCTCACCCTCTTGCAATGGCATCCCCCCGTATGCATTACCATTCCCGTCGCCATTCTTTTTTCAAGATTGTGACCTCCAAATTAGCGCATGTATACTTGCAAGTTGCATGAGTATCTGGAAAGTAAGAACACAATTATGAGTGTGCTCAAGGCTCGTTTGGTAAGGGTTGTTTCTCTTAATATACTGAATATCATGACAGAAAAAAGAGTAAATCAATGATTCAATATACTGAATTGTCACAAAAAACATTACACATTTCCTCAAATAAGATGATCATTAGTCATCCTTGAAAACAGGACTCCTCAACCCCTAAAAGAAGATTTAACTACGGAGTACTTTATTACGGAGTATTATATTGGGAAAGAATGAATCCAATTTTTAGGATAGAGCATAACTGATGTTTTACTCCTATTTTACGAAAGAACATTCCATGCATCCACTTCTACCAAATAAGCTAAACGACTACTACATAGTAGTACTTATTAGGCTTATTTTGGTAATATGCAAAATAAGCTGGAAAGAGCTACCAAACGGAGCCTGAGAGCGGGTTGGATAAGACGCAAAGTAAATATGGATGAAGCAAAGAGTTTATTCAATAAGGTGAACTCTTTGCACTGCCCAGTGCCCACCACCATGGGCTCCCTCTGCCCCTGCCCAAAATCTGGATGAGGAGGTAAATCACAGGTTTTAGTTCAGAAAAAGTTTGATACTGTGCTGTACACCATGATATGGCAAATATAAGTGTTATGTACACAAAATCTGCACTCCAATTAATTTATCTAGTTGCAAATGGATCCCCATACTTAGGCAGATGATAATGTATACAAAATTACCATAAACATCATCATTGTATTAGGAATCAGAGACCGATGCGTCCACCCGCTAATGTTCAAGTCTAGTATAATGACTCTTACTCCAGTCCAATTCAGATTCCTTAATCCCTTAGGGCCTGTTTGGTTTGGGGGTAATCTCACATGAAGGCCGGAATGTGATGACTGGAATGTTAGATATACATGTTTGGTTCACGAGTTTTAGAAAAAATTGGGAAAGTTACATTCTTGGGAATGTAATATGAAGTGGAATGTTATACCCTTCCATACCTTAGGTTATCTGACATTCCCGGGGATGATCTAATTTTCTTCTGAAAATACCCTCAATTAATTACCTTTTTTCATTTAATTTCTCTATGTATTCAACTTTTATCGAATTTGGTTTTTTGTGATTTTATAAAACTTTTAATGTAGTTTCTAAATATATAAATTTTATTTACTAAAAATAATCTTATTATTCACAGGGATCAGTTAATACTACTACAGTTAATATGCATAGTCACTATGATGTAAAGTTGAACACTGTCATGGTCACTAAAGTTACTTTTATAGTCACTAAGTCATATTTTTGTCCATTACCTTCATTTTAGTTATATATTTGTCATTATTTCTTAATTTTATAGTCGATAGAATATCGTATATTGTGTGACAAGTCTGACAACCTTTTATATGGGACGGATGGAGTATGTTTATTTAATTATTCGAATGTCTCTTCTTGTTATTTTCATAAATCTTTTTTCGAATGACAACATTTAAAACTTTTAAGGTATTTATGTTATAAGACTTATAGATTATTTAAGTTTTTGATGAGTGGATTTCAAAATTTAATGGCAAAATTGATCATTTTTTCTTTTATTTGAAAACAAGTTTTACGAATAACTTGAACGTTTTTAATTTTTTTTGAAATGATAATAAATATATTTTGATTACTATTTGAACAAAGCTTTTTTTCATATTTGTATTGGATCTACATGTTTTTACAATTAAACATACTTTAAACAATTCAATTTGGTTTCATTTTATTTATTATTAAGATATTTCATTTTTTCTTTAATTTCAATTAGTTTAGATGTAAGTTGTAATAGATTTATTGTATTAAGAGAAAACATTTAAAGGGCATTGAAGTAATCTACCATATCTATAATATAAGATATCTTTCGACTAAATAAATTAATGTCACATTTCCTTAATCTTAACCAACAATCTGACATTTTCATGTTAATTTGACATTCCTTGAACCAAATGGTCGGTTCGAATCGATAACCTTACTTGTCAACAAATTGATGTTTTCATACCTATTACAAAAGCCATCTACTATCAATTAAGCAGGGCAAGAACTCAAAACGGCCACAAATTTTCCATGGCTGATTGAGGTCTCTCCGAGATATGAACAGATATCATCGAAAATGAAGAGCGGGTAAGGAAATTCAACAACTCATTTGAAAGCACAACAACAGTAGAGAAGAGAGATAGTAGATCGGATTTACCTTCTTCAAGAGTCAACTGTAAAAATGAATGTAATACGGAGTAAGATTGAAGAACATTTTGCTTTAGACCAATAGAGTGAACAGTTTTTGAGTGTACAGTTTGCTGTGCATTCTTAACGGGCACGGGTGGACGTAGTTCAACGGGCAGCATAGAGGTGCACGGGTTTAGATTCCGGGTTCCAATCCAGACAACTGCGATGAAAAGTTATTATGCTAAAAATGCATAGGGTCTTTTCAATATCGGGAACAGAGCCCCACTCTCTATCTTATCAGATTGAGATTATAGTCCAATTTACATCCTCTCAACGTACCGTTTGATCGGGGTCGGAGGCCTTCAGGGATGGGGTGTACGTGAGAGTGAATGAACGGATTAAGGGTTAAAAAAACAGTTTTTCGGGGTTTTTCTTAACATGTGATTATCACTTATCAGGTCATAAAAAACAGTTTTTCGTTGCTCAATACACACACATAAGTGAATGAACGGATTAAGGGTTAAAAAGTGTACATATTGGTTTAGAATGCAAGATTTGAATATTAAATCCTCACCAAAGATTTACGTAAACTTTTCTAGTTGTCTTCTACTCGTCACCAAAGTGTACATATTGGTTCAGATTGTAGATTTCACTAATTATTACCCAATATCACAAACCGGCCAACAAGTCCTGACTAGTACCTATTGGGAGGTGGGTATCAAGATGATATCCTTATGCAAAATTTGAATATTAAAATTTTGATTTTTCTATCATTTAACGATAAATAAGGTTGAACAAAGAGATTCTACATTAATACTTTTTTATGATACACAAGATAAACTTTTTTTTGATCGTCAACTAGTCTTCTTTCATATTACAAGTTTCAGGATCATTACATTAATCAAAGGAAAAGCAAAATTGACACCAACTAAAAGTCTAAAATCCAACAACTACGACAAATCCTATAATCAGACTTAGAGATGATCACTCCCGAAAGATCAACACGAATCGCTAATCATGTAGCAAGCTTGACACAGCCATCCATGTTCCCATAGATCCAACCATACTTAAAGACATAAAAAAGGGTTGAATTCCCAAACTGACAAATCTAACAACATAGATCAGACGATAACAATAAGCCAAATGACAGAATAAAAATAACTAATAGGAAAACATCCACGGACTCTACCACCTCGTACAACCCATGACGGTGGTCCAGGAGGAGGCCGTATCCTTGATAACACTCTAATTGATCCTCCATTGTCAATCGTCATCTGGTCTACTCGAAATCCATGCACCTCTCCTCGTCCCGCGCTCGTAGCAAATTCACCGCTAGCGGTCATCTTCATCGCTGCCATGCCCTTGCTACCCTGCTCACGAAGAAATCGATCGCCGAACTCTGGCTTCGATGTCGTCAAGCTTGGGCAAGGATTCGTGTCAATCTACCTCAAATCCAATCCCAGTGCCGGGCACAAGTGAATGGAATTCACCGGCCGAAAGAACCAAACCTTAGATCTGCTAAACAAAAAACCAAACCCTAGACCTGCTAGGGAGAGATCGCGACACTCCTTAGATTATTGTTATTACTCCCCCCCAAAAAAACTCCATGAATATGTGAATAGAGTTTAAGTTTCTAATAATACACTTTAGATAAACTTATCTTTTTAATTTTTTAAAAAATTAAAAAGTGATATTTTATATGTCGTCTTACGAAGAAAAATGTAGGGGTGAGATCGGTTCAGTTCTTGAAAGAAAATTAGGAAGCATTTGAAGAACCATTAATTCCATGTTGATTCGGTTATAAAAGTTGGAGAAGAACCGATATAAGGATCTATAGTATTACATCGGTGCAATTCTGGTACGTTTTCAGTTAATCATTAAGAAAGAAAATGACTGTACCTATTAACGTGTTTCATCGTTAAACCGCTAACACATATAAATATAATTTGAAATTAGTAAATATTTAACCGTAAATAAATATACAAAATTTAACAAGTTAAAGATGAAAAGGAAACAATTATTAAAAAGAAAATCTCGATTGCACTTATACAGTATACTTGTACCACATGTAGTAATGAGTATAACGCTTGTGTAATGATCAATGTTCTTACTCATTGAGTTATGTAATATAAGAATTGAGTTTCTTTTTAATAAAAATAAATTTGGATTAATTCCTTATGTTTCATTTATTCATTTATTTGTTTCGTTTATTTATTTTATTGTTTTTTATCATATTACACATAAGAAATTACTTACAGTATGACTAAAACATAACATTTCCCCCAAAGTATGGTCATATGTTTGATTTCCTTAAATAAGATTAAATATTACATTTCTACCCCTAATTTAATTCATTAATATAATTAATTGTCCTTATTTCCCTTGCATAACCAAAGTCATTTTGTTGGTGGCGGATCAATCTGGTGACGACGACGGTGAACTCCGATCCGGTAATGGAGGCGGTCAGACAAATCGATAGCAGCGATCTAGGTGAAAATTCTGATGATCGGCAGTGACCATTCGGATTTAAAAGTCTATGGACTTTTTAAAAGTCTATAAACTTATCCATGAATTTATAAGTCAATAGAATTCACTCATAAAAAAGTCTACGGATTTTAATTTCCATAAACTTTTTTAAAATTCCATGGATTAAAAAAAGTCCATCACAATCCGTATTCAATACACCCTCTAAATCACCCCTAAACCGATCATATCTAACTTAAAAAGATTATAATAGATCACAAAATTAAAATTCAAGTGAAAACATATTTATTATTAGAAAATAAGTTAATCGATCACTTGAGTTTATTTGAGAGATTGGTGGATTATTTACAATTACTAGGTTGGCGGTGTGTGGCTAACTGGCTACCGCCAGTTCGTATACAGTGGGATCATCCCACGATGATGAGCACCATGCTCTACGCCCAAAACGACATAGTTTTGATCAATTTTTTATATAAAAAAATTCACGTGAACAGTACACCCGTGCAGAGTCAAACTCTCGGCTGGGATAGGGGCTCCCTCCAAACTGTTAACCCGTTCGTCATTCGGTCATCCAGAATGATTCCACACGTTAACAAGCTGAGGTGAGGCTATCTCCCTTCCAAACCCATAATTCCGATGCATTCCGAACTGTTCTCTCTGGCTCGTATAATCCATATTAGGGGTCTGAGGTAACCCTTTTCGAACTGTAAGCAAGATCACCGAAGTTGGGTCATTTCTTACTTATAGCTAAAAGGGCGACTAGCTTCCAAGTCAAGTTTTATGACTGAGGCGAGATTTTTCAAAACCATAGTTCCGATTCCCCGGGCGACAATCCGTACCTTATCCGAACGTCGCTCGGTTAATCCATATCTTACAGTCTTGACACCATCTCCAAGCCGTTTTGATCTCTTTTCCCGTACGTAATTACAGGGTTGACTTTGGCTAAGTTGACGACTCAGCTCCCTCCAAGCTGTTAACTCGTTCATCATTCGGTCATCCAGAATGATTCTACGTGTTAACAAGCTAAGGTGAGAATCACTGTCCTTCGAACTCCAGGCCATTTTGATCCCTTCATCAATGCGTAATTACAGGGTCAAAACTCTTGCTGAAATAATGGCTCCCTCCAAACTGCTAATATGTTCGTCATTCGGTTTTCCAGAATCGATTCTCATATTAACCGCTGAGGTGAGACTATCTGAGCGTCAAACTCCCAGCCGTTGGCTGAGAATGACTTTCCTTCCATGCTGTTAACTCGTTCGTCATTCGGTCATCCGGAATGATTGAGTTAACCACGGGCACCGATTTTCTGAGCATCAATTCTTCAAGCCGTTTTTGATCCCTTTATTCTTACATAAATCTAGGGTCAAAAACTCTCTAAACTGAGAATTGATTTTCCTTCCATGCTGTTAACCCGTTCGTCATTCGGTCATCCGGAATGATCGAGTTAACCATGGGCTGAGTTTGTGTGGAAGTTATGTCTCCCTCTCTATACCTTTTTTTTAGAGGTGGCAACAACCGTTTTTACTGATTAAATTTTTTTAGATGCTCCACATTCCAAGTTCCTGCCGGTCGGCCTTCGGTATTTTGTAGGCCAAACGTTCCTGAAGCATACTTCTTACACATACTTGGTAGGGGCCTTCCCAATTTTGTGCCATTTTGCTCCCTTCGAGCGGTTTGCTTTTCTCTCGCTTTCTTAGCACCAGGTCCCCTACCTCGATTGAACGAACTTTAACTTGCTTATCAAAGTATCTTCTTGTGGCTCTGTGATACTCTTCCATTCGTGCCGCTGCCAGATCCTTTCTTTCTTCTATGAAATGCAATTCGGTCCGTAAGTTATCTTCACTCCGTTCTGGGCTGTAATGCACCGTTCGGTGTGTGGGAACTAGGATCTCCGTTGGTACTTTGGCCTGGAAACCATAGGCAAGGGCAAATGGAGTCTCTCCCGTGGCCGTTCGGGGTGTGGTCCTGTAAGTCCACAGAATATAATTCAACTGATCAGGCCACGATGAGGAGTATTCTTCCAGTTTCTTCTTCATACCATCCATGATAGTTCGGTTCATATTTTCCACTTGGCCATTTGCCTGAGGGTATGCCACGGACGCTCTGGAATGCTTGATTCCCCATTTGACCAGGTAGTTCTCAAAATTCCGGCTCACGAACTGCCTTCCATTGTCAGTTACAATCTGTTCAGGGATTCCGAACCGGCAAATGATATTTTTCCAGACAAACTTCTGGCATTTAACATCTGTGATGCTGGTCAGTGGCTCGGCCTCTACCCATTTGGTGAAGTAATCTATCCCCACGATGATATACTTGTTGTTTCCTAGGGCCGTAGGTAGAGGACCTAACAGGTCTATCCCCCATCTTGCGAACGGAAGAGCCACTGTCATTGGGGTGTAGAAAGTGGCAGGCCGTCCGGGGACCGGTGCATATAGTTGGCATACCCTACATTTCCTAGTATGTGCAAAGCAGTCCTGTTGGATAGTCGGCCAATAATACCCTTGCAAGATGATTTTTCTGGCCAATGTCTTGGGCCCTTGGTGGCTGGAACAGATACCTTCATGAATTTCTTCCATTACAGCTGCCGCTAGATCGGGTGGGAGGCATTTCAGATACGGCCCACCAAATGTCTTTTTGTATAGCTGCCCGTCCACCAATTCGAACAT